AATTTGGGATTGGGCCCCCCGGGCCTCGACTTTTTAAAACTTTTCAGATTAAATCGATATCAGGGTCGACTTATAGGTTTTGGAGGGCTCTTTTTATGAAAATGATATCGAATTTGGGATTGGGCCCCCCGGGCCTCGACTTTTTAAAATTTTTTAAACATTTTTTTTTCAAAATTACTCATGGCGTTAAAATTTTTCATGAGTAATTTACTCTCATGGAGACAACATTTTGCACGAGTGATTTACTCATGGAGGAAAAATATTTCACGAGTAATTTTCAAAATTAGTCATGGCTAAGCTTCCAAGAGTGATCACTCGTGACGTCACTGCTCGACATTTACTCGAGTAAATGCCCAACACTGCTGACGGTATCCAAAATTGCTGGATTAAAAGATATCATTGCTTCCATGAATTGCTGGCCAAAGGTTACCAGGAAATACTTGAAGACAAACAGAGCCCCCCTGATGGTTTCTCTGATGGCATCACGTATATGCTTCCGAAAAAGAATGACTTAAACATGCGTCCTGAAGATTTTCGGAAGATAACGTGTTTAAATGGTCTGTATAAAATTCTAACTTCCATCTTGGCAACTAAGATATATGAGCATCTCGAAAATGAGAATATGATATCCATAGAACAGCTAGGGTGCAAAAAAGGTGCTAGGGGTTGTAAAGAACTTCTAGTAATAGATTCGTTCATTGCAGCACAAGTTGCGAAAAGACAGCGAAACCTCTCTATGGCATGGATCGATTATAAAAAGGCCTTTGACTCGGTTCCCCACAGCTGGCTACTTAAAGTACTAGATATATACAAGGTTGAATCTAAAGTAAGCAGGCTCCTTTCAAACTTAATGACAGGTTGGAAAACTACGCTGAAAGTTGGAACTATCTGCACAGGGAATCAAATTAAAATATTGAGAGGAATATACCAAGGAGATTGTCTAAGCCCCTTATGGTTCTGTTTGGCTTTGTTCCCACTAAGCAGGATTCTTCGAAAGAACAAGATGGGATACAAATTAATCATCAACGACGAAGCTACCACAGTCAGCCACAGCTGGTACATGGATGACCTTAAACTATATGCGAAAAACCAAGACCAATTACAAAGTATGGTTGAAGATGTTTCATCTTTTAGTAGTGATATAGGCATGTCACTCGGTCTGGATAAATGTGCGGTGCTCCATGTAACCAAAGGAAAAGTGGTTAGTATGCAGAATATTCTAATCAATGAAAAAGAGTACATCAGGGAGCATGAAGACAATAGGTTATATAAATATCTGGGAATGCAGCAACATCTTAAAATTGCAAGAAAAGATATGCAACAAGACCTTCTGACAATGTTCAAAATTATCCTCCAATGGATTGATACCAAAGACAACAGTGGCAGGCACGATGGGATTAAAATTACTTCTTGAAGTGCTGAAAGAGGCTCAACACTCAGTTCTCTTGGATACGGCACGTATTGTTCGAACGTTTTTAAATATCTAAAAAGTAATAGATATTAATCTGAAGTGGCTGGACTTTTGGTCTCCCACCTCAGAAACTTACCCCGCAAAGCGAGAATAAAGAATGGAAATAATAAGGCTTAGCGAACCCGAAGGTTCGATGCCGACACCACCAATCGCTTGTTACACACCTCCCTCCACCGTTCGCCGTCCAAACCCAGTCCCTTCAGATCGGCTTTAATGCAATCTTCCCACCTTCGCTTCGGTCTACCCCTCGGACGCTTACCATTCGGCACAGCAAATATTAACCTTTTAGGAATTCTCTCGTTACTAAGCCCAACAACTTTACAAGCCCATTTGTTTCGCCGCGATGAAATTACCTCAATTATATTACCCGGATACAGCTCACGCAATTCGGCGTTGTGTAACCGTCTGAACTCTCCGGTTAACTCATCCTTCTTCGGTCCGAATATTCTACGCAATACTTTATTTTCAAAAACCTTAAGACGCTGCTCATCCCTTAATGTAAGCGGCCAAGTTTCGCATCCATAAAGAACTGTAGGCAAGATAATTGTTTTATAGATTCTAATTTTTAAGTTTCGGGACAAGAGGCGCGAACTAAGTAGTTTTGTCACAGAAAAATAACAAGCATTCCCCGCCTTCAGTCTAACCTTAATCTCTTCTTCAATTTCGTTTTTTCTAGTTATCGTAGAACCTAGATACCTAAATTTATCTACCTGTTCAAACATATTACCATCTATATCGATATCACCAGTAGTATCGCCATTTTTGCAGCTAACCATATATTTTGTTTTATCCACGTTTATTTCGAGTCCTAGTTCTTTACCGGCTTTCATTAACGTTGTTGTATTTAGTTTTATAGTTTCAACTTCTTCGCTTAACAGTACCAGATCATCAGCATAGCCCAGCACGGATGTTGTCCCGCCCAGATGCAACCCTTTCTCGGTTCGCATTACCTCCCTAATGGCATGTTGTAATGCCAAATTGAACAGGACAGGCGAAAGAGAATCCCCTGTTTTAAGCCCGAACGAACCTCAAACTTTTTCGGACAAATTATTACCGATTCTAACTTTATTGAGTGTCTCCGTCAAGCACATCCTGACTAGATTTACTAGTTTTTTTGGAATCCTCTGCTCGATTAGAATATTATACAGTTTCTGGCGGTCAATAGAATCGTAAGCCTTTTTAAAATCTATATACAGCTGGTGAACAAAACCGTTGTACTCCAATTTCCCGTATTTAAAATATTGTCAAAGTGGTCCTTAAACTTATTCAATATGTCAACCGGATCGGTCAGAATATTGTTATTATCATCCCTAATTCCAGACGTTAAGGGCCCTACATATTTACGTGATCTGTTTATACCTTTGTACATGTCTCTTAAGTTATTTTCGATTCTATTAGTTTCTATTTCAATTATTTTATTTTTAAGATACTCCCTTTTTTTATTTTTGAGCAATTTTGTCGTTTCGTTCTTTGAGATTCGGAAGTATTCCAGATTGTCTTCGCTAGGATTATTTAGAGCTTTTAATTTAGCGGCTTTTCTTTTTTCACACATGTTTAAGCAATCTTCATCAAACCACGGTTTGTTATTCTTATTTTCCTTTTTTCCTAGACACGAGTTACCGACCGCTTTAATATTATCCCTGATCTCTATCCATAACTTGTCAATATCCTCGTGGTCCTCGTCAGGAAGCTCTAAAGCTTCAAACCTATTCTTAACATCTAGCTCGAATTGGTTTCTAATTGATGGATTTTTTAATTTTTCCAAATTAAAATTCTCAAAATCGAAACGGTTTTCTTTTCTCTTTTTTATATTAAGTTTTTGTCGAAGTTTCGCGATTACTAATTCATGATCCGACCCACATTCTGCTCCGCGATAAGACCGTACATTAATTATACTGCTTTGCCAGCTATGTTGTATCAAGACATGATCGATTTGATTTCGTGTTTGCGAATCCGGTGATGTCCAAGTATATTTATGAATATCCTTGTGTTTAAACGTCGTACTTTTAATTATCAGGTTTTTCGAGATGGCAAAGTTTATCAGACGGATCCCATTATCATTACTATATTCGTGCAAACTTTCTTTACCAATCGTCGGAATATAAACTTCTTCCCTTCCTACCTTTGCGTTCGCGTCACCTACAATTATTTTCATGTAGTTTCGCGGTAGTTTATCATAAACCCATTCGAGTTTATCGTAAAATTCACTTTTGACTTCATCGTCACTGTCTTCGGTCGGACAATGTATGTTTATTAATGCGATTTTAAACCAACGTCCCTGAAATGTAGCTACCGAAATTCTATCACTAAAGAATTGTACGTCCCTCAAAGCGGATAGTAATCTACTCCTAATTAGAAACCCGGTACCTAAACAATGATTCCCGCTTCCTCCGTACCAAATAGTGTACTTTCCTTTCCTCATCGAGCCCTACCCTGGCCAGCGAACCTTTTGCAGAGCCACAACATCCAAATTGTACCCATTTACCTCATTCGCGACCGATTTTAGCCCCCCTGCTGTGCTTAAATTCCTTACGTTCCACGTACCAATATTTAAATCCCTATATTTCAACTTGCGCCATGAATCCCCTAAAGCATTCCCCAACCGGAGACCCGGAAGGGGGAATAGTTTACCTCCGGATAATGAGCGTTTTACCTTAGGGAGATCCATGACTTTTTGTGGTGTTTGGTGAACTAAAGATATGTGAGTAGGGCGTTCAATCCTACGTCACACCCTCCAGCAAGTCTGGTGGGCCCCTACCTCAAGCAAGTCCCCTCCCTCCAGAAAGTCTGGAGGGCCCCTCTCATTGTTGGTCAGCGAGTCCATCGGACTTAGCCGGGAGGAACTTCCAAGGAATTTCCACCGACCATCCCCACATCCGCCACCCGTGGGACGCTCCCCATACGCGGTAATGAGCCCGTGCGAGGAAAGTTATTAATAATTAGTTATCAAAAATTCAAATTGGAATGCTCATAACCACAAGGAAATTAAAAACTCTTGACAAATATTTATTAATTTAAATTATATAATTTCTAATGTCACATTTCGTCCTTTCCAATTCGACCATTTCCAAAAACAAATTACTATCAACCCGCACAGTGGCATCGCGTGTTATTCATGTTAAATGAGAGCACCTAAGCCAACTATAAGCTAATTAAACTAAAATAACCTTTTTTTTATCATTGATACAACTTAAACTGATTTTATTTATTAACTTCAGATATTTGGAGTTATTTTTTTTTATTCTTTAAAAGTTACGGAAATGGGGTCATGAGGCTTCTATCGAATGAACATGATAAATAATTAATTTGTAAATATAATGTAATTTCATTGAATTTCAATAAGTTTCAAAATTGATAATTCTTCCTTTATTCTTAAGTGTTTCGTTACTAACTATATTTATTTTGTATCTTTCTTTTGGGATACCATTAATCAACTCTAATCCTGGAAATGAAAACACCCATTGATTCTTTCTTTTTCAATATATTCGTCAAAATATTCGTCATTTTACAGCTGTTATTTATACTTTGACAGGAGATCGAAATTGGCGACACCGATATCAAAATCGAAAGATAAAACCTAAACCAATGAGTACAACTAGACCAGATAGTGAAGAAGAAACTGAAGGTTTTTTATACCGTAAGTTTTAATTTGAACTAAAGTAAATTTACCATCATTTACTCCATCTTATTGTTTTATTATATTTCAGTTTATTTTTTAAAGAATATGTACAACATATATATTGTAAATCATATATTTTTACAACCTGCATGGACCAGTCTTTGTTTAATTTTCATTCCAGGACGTTTTCACTAAAAATTCATGAAATTTTAGTATTACAGATTCATATACAATAAAGAGTTGGCCCGATTTTAATTGGGATATTAAAATGTTTTCAATAATTAGTTATTCGAAAATTGAAAATCGGACTGCTCTTAATCACAAGGAAATTAAAAATTCTTGACAAATATTTATTAATTTAAATTATATCTGTGGCAGAATAATAAAAAGTAAAAAAAAAATTATATAATTTCTATTGTCACATTTCGTCCTTTCCAATTCTCGACAAATTCCAAAAACAAAAATTATCAACCCGCACAGTGTCATATTAAATTAATTAAATGAAACCACATAATTCTACTATAGCCTAATTAGACCTTATCATAGTTTTCAATGATACAATCTAAACTGAGTTTATTTATTAACTTTACGCACTGTGGTATGGCGTGCTTCTCATATTAAATGTAAGCGCATTATCCAACGATAACCTAATTATTATTTTTTTTTGAAAATATATAATTATAGTCGTTATTTATACTTCCATAGGAGGTCGAAAGTGGCGAAACCGAAATAAAGATTTTAATGGAAAGAAAAAACCCAAAAATATGACTGTCAGTAGACCTTTTTATGACGAAGAACCTGACATCGTTTTTTTAGGTAAGTAGTAAATTTACTATGATTTAATAACATGTTATATTTTAATTGATTTTTTATTTAAAATAACTTTAACATAAATGTAAATATATATGAATTTAGTATGATTGTGATTTTTTACATTTAAGGTTTTTTAGGCTTTGATTAATGTGATTCAGTTTTGACAAAAGCATAAAAAAAACTGCATAGGTTACTCTTTTCTAAATTTTCAGTTCTGGCTATTAATTTTTTTTAATTATTTTTATTTTTTTTTTCGGCATTACAACTCTTGTAGTGTCAGGGTTTTCTGCAGCTCCAACCACCAGTCAAGAAGTGCAGCCGTCTTCCAATCGAGGACACATAAGATAGCTTCCACTTCATCAGCCTCTCTAATTTTATGTCTGACTATCCGTTTTGTGTGAATTCTTTCTTCTAATAATTTTCTCAATATATTTCATCCAGGCTTCCAGCGAACGTTTCCAGCCAGGGTTCCAGCCCAGCTTAATCAGCCATTCCTTATTATGCTCACAACACTGGCATCTCTATATAGCTCCTGCAGCTCAAAGTTCGTTCGCATTTACCATCATTGGTTGATATTGAGTATTGGGCAGAGCTGAGCAAAATGTATTTTAAATAATATGTATACTATGTATGTTTTTTTAAAAATACAGTGTATACATATTTAAAAGTATTTCAGTTACACAGTATTTACATTTCTTATCAGAAATTATATTTCAAATACAAAATATTATAAATATTTTGTATTCTACTTACATAATACTTCTGGTGGACAATCAGCATGTAATAAAGGAAACCTACTCTATTTAATAAATTTTATTATTTTAGTAGTATCTTGGATATAAAATATAAATACTTTTATTGTATTTGGTATTTTAAAAAGAAAATGCAGTAGTAAACAACCTATTTTATATTCAACTTCTTTCTTTAAATGCAAAATATAAAAAATATATTTTAAAATATTTTATTTGAAACTCTGAAATAAAAAAAGTCTGTTACTGACCCGAATATTCTTTTAGAAACGCGAAAAACAACAATACAATAATTTGATTAAAAAACTTTTTGGTTTAAATACTGAGTTCAATATTTAAACTATCATTAAATAAATGAAAATAAATTAATATTCTCCGAATATGTATTAATTGTCTTAATGCAGTATACAAATCTAAAAGTATCCTGGATGCACTTTATAATTAATTTGCAATCCAACTTTTATTACTACCATCAGAATCCTCCGCATTGGAAGCTATTTATCAGTATTAAATCAAGTGCTCCATTCCTCTGTGTGATTTGAAAATGTTTGTTATTACTCTCAATTTAAAATGTTAATAATTGATAGATAAATATGTTTTACTGATTAACGATGAGTTTTAATAACATTCCATTTGACGAATGATATGATTTCAGATAAATCCATCAGAAATAAGAGTATTTGGTCTTTTTTAGGACCAGAATTTGATAGTCGAAATATATGCAGTAAATGTCACAAGTTGAAGAGAAAGGACCAAAAACAGATTCAAAAATATTGTTCAGATATCCAAGCGAAACCCGAGCAAGTCGAAAGTAAGTAACAATACTTCGTTACAATAGCTGTTAAAAAATACCGTATGTGCTAACTAGACTAAATTCTAAGCTCCCTCAAAACAATAAACCGTCTCATCAGTGATAATGAAATCCATACCAGGGGCTAGCAAACCTGAAAAAACTGGAAAAATCGGAGAATTTTTTTATGTAATATGACTTAAATTCAAATATTTGAATACCTGATCATCGATTTTTATGAAGAAGTTTTTTTTCCAGTAATTGCTATTAATTTTTCCAATTATCTCCTTAAAACTATATAAAAATAAATCGTTTTAGTCCCACTGGAGGCCTACTAGGAATATTTGTTTTCCGAAAAATCTTTAATTCTTAGATAAGTTTAAACACAATGTTATTCATATTTTTAAGAACTGATTTGATGCGTTTATTTTTGTCTACAGAGATTCTTGATTATCGTCAGTAGTAACCATAAAAATGGCGATTATTTCGACATTCGGTACTTAATACAATGCAAACACTATTTATAAGTCGATTAATATTATTATTTTTTTCTTATTTAATATAATATTTGGAGATCGGTCTTCTCCATTTGCTTTCGGACAAACTTCGGTTAATTTTGGCATTTCGTGTACAGAGCAATCAATGGAACTGCTGAAAAATTTATATGTCTTTAAGGACATATCTACATTATTTACATTAGGATATTTCAGAAGCTAAATTTTTGTACTTCATTTATCTACCTACACCTGCAGGAAAATTAGTTTAGACTGGTTAATTAAGTTGTCTTTATTGGAATTGATATCAAACCTATCCTGTCAAACGGCAGTCATTTACGTGATCTTGGCCACATTTATATTTTTCACTATTTATATACTTATATTTTTTTATATTTGGTTACTAGTCGAATTTTTATATTATATTTTATCTATGCCAGCTTACGAATTCTGCAGTCTATTTTGTTGTTAAAAATGCAACCTGACCTGCCGGCTAAACGACAGACCCACCATGTGGTCTTGACCCATCTTGATATTTTCACAAGTTAAAACCGTAAAGGTCAGTTTAGTTCAAATACATTTAAAATTTACACGCATACATATTTATATATCAAATTTCCTTTAAATCGTCTATAAAAATTTATTCCAACACTTCGAATATTTTAATTCAATGAAACTGTAGCGGTTTCCGCTCTTGCTTCCCGCTACCCAGGCAGCGCCCTTCAAGCTCTTGCCACGTGGAACATCAAGTTCGCCTTCCCGCTACCAGGCAGCGCTCTACAAGCTCGCCCGTGCAACATACTAAAATTGTATCTTTTATTTCTTATTGTTGTATTATAAAATACTTAAATTGTAAATTGAAATATGCATATTCATTGCAAATATTTTTTGTTAATAAATTTTAATGGCGATAACATATACTGACTAAAGCTCAAAATAACTGTTATAGTAACTCTTGATAGCCGGGTTGGTCTTGGCGGAATGAATACCCTAGTCAAACCTCAAGTTGTCAGTTCTACGGAGCTCTTTTAGTCTGCTCATCTTATTTAACAACATCCTTTTATCTTTATCCTCTTCTCTATTTCCATGCAAGTTGGACGCTGATCCGTCCGCTTGCAGTCCTATATACTGAGTCTGGAGATTGATCCCTCCGTCAGTATTTCATCCTCCCACAAGTCCGGAGTTTGATCTCTCTGGTTGTGGTTACCATCCTTGCGGAATGTTAAGGCTGATCCCTTACACCGCCAGCCGAGAGTGATTGGGTGCTGATCCGCCTGTCACTCGACGCCATACATCTTTACACCTTCCTTCAACCATTCAATCATCTTAACCCTTCAATACTGAACACGCACTGTCGAGGCCTTTTGATAACTTGCATATACTGCCCCTGCTTTATATACCTCGACAAAACTTTATAAACAGGCCCTGACTACATCTATGGCTAAAAAATAATGAAGATTATAATTAGGGACTAATCAAATAATTGTGAAATCATGTAATAAAAACAATAAAAAGATATAGGTTTATTTAACTTTTAAAAACGTGCAAATACAATCCATTTAATTGGTTTTGGAATTCATTAAAATAACATAGAAATCTGATATCTAGTTATTATAGTAGATTAAAATATGTACACCTTCAAACAATATAATAATTAAATATTTATATCTTAAGAAAGTTATTTATAGTTTAAATATTACGAACCATTTAAATATTCTGAGCCAGCAATGTTACTTTTCCTTTATATGGCGTCACCAAGAAAATCAGTTACAGACCGTGCTACCTACTCTTTTTTATCAAGTTATTAACATCCGCCTAAAATTTCGTGAATGGCTTTATCATATTGTAACCTATAACAATTTTATTTGCGAAAACTCTCGGAATTGGAGATCGGCAAACTTTTTCTATTTAAATAGGTACTAAATACTCATTAACACCCATTTGCCTTACCCTTAAATTGTAATATAATTTTGTCACACAATCGAGAATAAAGGTGGCCAACTTGGCGTGGTCTCCACACCCAACATGTCAAAATAACGAGGTTAAATAGGCCAACCGGCCTAATATTTTTGCAGACCACATTTTTTTCTCGATCTTGTGATCAAATTATCTTAAGATTCAAGTGGAGAGAAAATGTGTATTTATTTATTATTTAGTATCTAATGAAATAAATTGTAAAACTCCACGTTTCTGAGAATTTTCAAAGATAAAAGATTTCTCTGTTAAGACAACATGAAGCTATTTAATTGGTTTAAGCGGATGTAAATAATTTGATAAAAAGGGGTCTGTACCACGAATTATTATGGTAGCGCAGCTAAACATTAATATACAAAATAAATACAATTAGGTTTTCTTTAATTAAAAGAAAAAACTTAAAAGGGTAAAAACCAATCAACTTCAACCAATGCCGACGATTCTCAAATCTATTTATCCTTTTCTCCCGCTGAGTTATTGGTGGCATTTGCCAAAATTCAAGAAGATTTAGATCGAATTAGTGCCTGGGCCCACTTAAATGGATTAAGGCTAAATGCTGCCAAAAATCAGGCCATTCTCATTGGTTCCAAGCCCCTTCTTAGATCCCACACCAACTTTCCCTCACTCTATCTAAACAACCACCCCATCACCTTCTATCCCTTTGTTAAAAATTTAGGCTTTCTCATAGATCAAACCCTTTCCTGGAATCACCATATCTCTCATATATCCCGCCGTGCAATTTCTACCCTCAAACTATTCCGTCACTTCCGCCATATTCTACCCCAAAATACCCGTAGACTCATAGTTTCCTCTCTCATCTTTCCCCACTTTGACTACAGCTGTGTGGTGTACGATGGCCTCTCGGTGGAACTGCGTGATAGACTCAAAAGACTTATGAATTGCTTCGTAAGATTTGTAATTGGAACCCCGAGACGCTCCCGTGTCTCCCACCACTACACTGAGTTAGGGTGGCTCTTCCCCTCCTTAAGAAGACAATATTTCCTTGGCACTTTCCTTTATCAAATCATTACCGATCATCGTCCTTCTTATGCCTACAACCTTCTCCAATTTAAGTCCTCAATCCATTCACTCACTACAAGATCCCGACCCTCTGACCTATACATCCCTTCTCATAGATCTGCCTCATTCCAAAATTCCTTTATAGCCCGCTCTGTCAACTTTTGGAATTCCCTCCCGATCAAAATTCGACATGCCCCTTCCCTGTATACATTCAAAAACCTCCTATTCCAATTCCTGTTCCAAAAACAGTCTGATACCAGCTAACTATTGATATTATATATGTATTGTGTAGCAATCATATAATCATAACACTTGGTAAGAGATAGTACATGCATTTCCTACTATCGACGTAGGAATTTCAATACATACATTTTTTTTTATTTTTTTTTTTTATTCAATTATAAGTAACTGTTTATTTTTATATATATATTCAAGTAAAGTTTTTTTTTTTTTTTTATGAAATGAACTCATTGTATCTCTTTTTCGTTCTTCATTTCTCAAAGTGTATGTTTATGTTGTGCAACCCTTAAATATAATTCTGTTCATAGTTCAAGTGATTCGTTCATAGTTTTAATTGTTTTGTTCATAATTTTAAATGCTCTGTACATAGTTTTATCTGTTTGTATATAGCTTGTGCACCTAAGGTTTTCTTTACTTTTTATTTTATTTTATCAATTTTATTTATTGTTTCAACGTTCAGGCCAGTAATATTCTATTATTTTGTACATTATTGTTATTCTGAAGGGACTTAGTCCCAGAATAAAGTTTTTTTTTCTATCTATCTAAAAAAACTTTTTAAGATAAAGTTGAAAAAATTATTATTTTCTTACCGTTATTCAGGATTTGGAGAAAATGTACACATATTAAAAGAAAATTGTAAAACATGTTATCAATCATTAAATTACATTATAATTTTCCACTCCGTTTCATTATTCATAATTTATATTTCCACAGGTCCTTTTCTCTTTTTTGGCAATCATCGGGACATCCAATTCCCAGAAGAACAAAGAAAGATCAGCAATGCAACGAGTTATCCAGAAAAAAATGAATGTAATATGAATGAGTATTTTCCAAATAATTTATATCTTAGTAAAATAAATTCAATACAATATAAAAAAATGTATATTGGAATTTATACGGGCAATGAGAATGAGTTTTAAGCAGAAAACAACGTCGTGGGAGAATAAATATCATGAATATTCGTGGGGCTTGTTTTTGAATATATGATTAGCTAAAATTCAAAAACAATACACAGGATATTATTTAAGGTTAAATCTTACACGGAAACGATTTATAGTTAAAGTGATAAGCTAATTAATTTTTGCCAAAAATTTATTTTTGAGGAAGTAATTAAATAAGTGTCTATCTTTCATATTACGCTGCTCATTAAATAAATAACATTAACAAGAACAACCACATTTATACGAGTAATGAAAATAAGTTCTAAGCCGAAAACAATATCGCTGGAAAATAGAATATTATTTATATTCTAAAACAATCTAATCGCTTAAATATAACGAGTATTATTTAAGGTTTGGCATTCATTATGCTAAAGATATTGAAAATATTAAAGACATAAACTTCCCGAAAAATGCCTGAAAAAATTAAGATATTAATATGCCCCCCTTAGGAGGCATTTATAATACGTGATAATCACGTTGTTTAAAAAAAAACAGAGTGTATTGAGCAAAACTCGGATTAATGATTTGAGTCCGTCGAATCATGCCTATTCAGACGATCAGACCCACTCTGGTTCATCAGAAAATGAAACATAAAAATCATCCGAGTTACCATCAGAACGTTTCAAATAGCTTCTTTTGAACGATTCAATCATAATATGTTCACTTTCCATTCTCTATTCATTTTATTACTAAGTTGGTTTCATACCTAATTCAGCTTAACTACATTTAAAAACAGCTTTTAATTGAAATATGTATAATCAATCGATGATGAACAAAATTACAAAACAAAATCAAAACCAAAACTTTTGAAAAATTTTATAACGTAATTAATTGAGTTGAAAATTGACATAAACAAATTCAATAACTAATTCATTCCGGAAAGAAATTCAGATTATTTTATTAAGCCTAGCTCTGTAAATTAAACAAAGTTTAGCCAAATATACAATATAAAAATCGGTGAAAGATTGAGGAATGACTTGATTAGTAAATCGATTTCTTTAAACAAAATTGATGCAAAATTATTTGTAAAGAAATCTATGACTTAGCTATAAGTAACACAAATGTTTAATAATAATAACAAATTGATTTCAGGTGGCGCAAAATACAATCAAACAACTGATAAGACACATACAAATGGAAACAAAGAATCAGCAAAAAAAAATATAGGTGAGTAAAAATACTTTTTTGTGGTAGCTGATAATTAATACCAAGCATTAATTTAGATGAAGAAAACCTGTTTCTCAATAGGCTACAGAATAAAAATGAATTCTTACAAAATTAACAATTATAGCAATCAACTTCTGAACTAATGAATTATTTGATTTATTATTTTATGTTTGAAATAAATTCAGTTATTAAAAAAAATGGCTAAGCTTAAATATAAAATGTTGGACAAATGTAAAATGCCAAAAGCTTATTTTGAAAAGATGAAGAAAATCATTGGTATTGAAATCTAGTCCTTAATTATAAGTAACAAAAACATTTAGTGACAATAACAATTTGATTTCAGATGGTACCAATCAGAATACTACTACAAAATCATTTTTAGGATTTAAATTTTGGAAACACGGTCGTACAAAGGGAAAGTTGACGACGTCTTCTGACAAGGTACATTCAGTTAAAAACAAGGAATCAACAAAACAAATAAAAGGTCAGTAAAACTACTTCATTACGGTAGTTGTTTGTATTATTATGCATTACTTTAGTTGATAAAAGTCTGCTTGTTTCTAAATTACGGAATAAAAAAAAAAAGATTTCCTGAAATTATATAAAAAAAATATTTAATGTAACAAGCAACATATGGAACATTTTTTTTATATGTTTGAAAAAAATTCAATTATTAAGAATATGGCATAGGATAAATATGAAATATAATTAAATGATTATAATAAAATGGACAAATGTAAAATGCGAAAATGTTATTTTGAAAAAATGAAGAAAATCATTTGTACTGAAATCTTGGCCTTAATTATAAGTAACAAAAACATTTAATGACAGTAACAATTTGATTTCAGATGGTACCCATCAGAATACTACGACGAGATCTTTTTTAGGATTTAAATTTTGGAAACACGGTCGTACAAAGGGAAAGTTGACGACGTCTTCTGACAAGGCACATTCAGTTAAAAACAAGGAATCAACAAAACAAATAAAAGGTCAGTAAAACTACTTCATTACGGTAGTTGTTTGTGTTATTATGCATTACTTTAGTTGATGAAAGTCTGCTTGTTTCTAAATTACGGAATAAAAAAAAAAAAAAGATTTCCTGAAATTATATAAAAAAAATATTTAATATAACAATCCCGAGTGTCAATCCCGATATCCTTGATTTTTTCATCCACAGTGACTTAGGTCCCCTCAATCATTCCCTTACCCGTCTTGCCGAACTATCCTCAAATCATAGTCCATTATTACTCCAATTATCTCTTGCTCCTATTCCTAAGTCTTCTCCACCGTCCTTCATCAGAGGTCCAGTTAACTGGAAACTCTATCACCAAATCCTATCCGATAAAATTGACCTCAGAATAATCCTAAAAACCCCAGATGACCTTGACAATGCCGTACACCTTTTCACCACCTCTATCCAACAAGCAATCTGGACTGCTTCCTCTCCAAACCACTCCTCAAGAACTCCCAAGAAAAATAAGTTACCTCAACACTTTATAGACCTAATCCATACCAAACGCCGCGCCAGATTATTATGGCAACGTACAAGACACCCCATCGATCGTCGCTCCTATAATTTTTACAGTAAACCATTAAAGCAGGAATTGGCCACCTTCAAATCCCAATCCTTCAACTCCTACCTTACTTCCCTCTCTGCTCATGACAATTCCCTATGGAAGATCACCAACAAAATCCTAAAATACCATCATCTTTCCCATCCCCTCCGTCGAAGTGATGGCTCCTGGGCAGCGTCTGATGAAGATAAAGCTGAGGAATTCGCCAGACACCTCTCCAGAACATTTACCTCTCATCCGGAATCCAACCTCACCCATACCACAACAGTAGAAGAATTCCTTACATCACCCATTCCACTTTCCTTGCCACCTAAAGCAGTTAATCCTTCTGAGGTCAAACATCACTTACAAAAACTTCCTCTCCGTAAATCTCCTGGATACGACCTCCTTACCTCTCAAATTCTTCGACAACTTCCTCCTAAGGCTGTTATATTTCTCACCTACTTATATAATGCCATCCTAAGAACCACCCACTTTCCTCTCTTGTGGAAACATTCCACTATTATCCTGTTTCCGAAACCAGGCAAACCTCCCAACACCTCAACGTCCTACAGACCCATTAGCCTACTTCCGATTCTCTCAAAAATCTTTGAAAACATCCTCCTGAAACGAATCCTACCCTTTATAGAATCCCAAAATTTTCCTTCACATCAGTTCGGATTCCGTTCACAACACTCCACAGTCCAACAAGGACTCCGAGAGGTTGATCATATTTCCGCAGCATTGGAAAGCAAGCAATATTGCTCGGATGCATTTCTGGACATAGCTCAAGCTTTTGACCGGGTATGGCACGCCAGGCTTCTTTCCAAGCTGAAAACCTATCTTCCTCAGTCCTTGTAACTTGTCCTCCGTTCCTAAACTCTCAGATCGTACCTTCCGAGTTCGCTGCAGTAGTGAATTATCGAATTGCTATCCAATTGAGGCAGGTGTTCCTCAAGATAGCGTATTGGGTCCCGTCCTTTACATCCTCTTTACCGCTGATATCCCTGTCTATCCCAATACCTTCCTGGCAACTTTTGCTGATGACACCGCCATTCTATCATCCGACTCAGATCCTGATATAGCATCCTTAAACCTTCAAAGACATCTCTCCCTGATTGAGCAGTGGTGTAATAAATGGCGAATTAAAGTAACCGAATCCAAATGCCAACACATTACCTTCACGCTCCGACGCAGTTCCTGTCAACCAGTACACTTTAATTCCATTCAGCTTCCTTTCTCTGGCACAGTCCGGTACCTTGGCTTTCTCCTAGACAGACGACTAACGTGGAACCCTCATACTAGACTTAAAAGACAGGAACTAAACCGACAATACCGACAACTATACCGGCTACTAAACAGAAAATCAAAACTTTCCATTGAAAACAAGTTACTGATCTACAAGACAATACTGAAACCTATCTGGACTTACGGACATGAACTGTGGGGAACAGCAAAATTTACTGACATCAAACGCATCCAATCCTTCCAATCAAAAGTCCTTCGAACAATAGTCAATGCTCCTTTCTATGTAACCAACAAAACCCTACACCATGACCTTAATATCCCATTTGTCCTAGACCTTATCCCAGCAAAATTCTCCAAATTCCACCAGAACCTTACCCATCATCCAAATCCCTTTGCAAAATCTCTTTCCAGCACCACCTATCCATATAATTCTCCAAGGGGGTTAAAACGGCAGTTGCCCCGCGATCTTTTATAGTTTGTAAATATTGGAGTTCTGGCATTGGCCAGATTCTCCACTCATGACATGAGTGTATGTGGCTAAATTACTCTTGCTCAATCTCCACTGGGTTTAGCCCTAGTGACACGGTTGAGAGAGGAGTGCAGGGAGCTCCTGGAGTCATACTTTTCCCTCCACAGTTGGAGATACAAGTCTGGTTTGGAGTTCTCTCGCCAACTTGTAAATATTGTATATAGGTGTGCATGTGTTCTTTTTATTTATTTATTTTTAGGTTATTTTATTCTTGTTTATTGTATATATATTATTTTACTGTATAATTTATTTTATTTACTGTACATAGAGTGTGAATGTGATCTGTGAACACTATTATTAATGTCCCTGAGACAGATTGTAATATATTTCAATAAATAAAAAAAAAAAAATATATATATATATATATAACAAGCAACATATGGAACATTATTTTATATGTTTGAAAGAGATTAAATTATTAAGAATATGGCTTAGGATAAGTATGAAATATAATTAAATGATTATAATAAAATGGACAAGTGTAAAATGCGAAAAGGTTATTTTGATGAAGAAAATCATTTGTATTGAAATCTCTGCGTTAATTATAATTAACAAAAACATTTAATAAAGGTAATAATTTGATTTCAGATGGTACCTATCAGAATACTACGACAACATCTTTTTTAGGATTTAAATTTTCGAAACACGGTCGTACAAAGGGAAAGTTGACGACGTCTTCTGACAAGGCACATTTAGTTAAAAACAAGGAATCAACAAAACAAATAAAAGGTCAGTAAAACTACTTTAGTACGGTAGTTGTTTGTGTTATTATGCATTACTTTAGTTGATGAAAGTCTGTTTGTTTCTAAATTACGGAATAAATACAAAAAATGATTTCCTGAAATTATATATATTTTTTTTATTTTTTTTTTATTATAACAATCTGTCTGTTGGACATTGGTTATAGTGAGGTAGGATGACATTCACACTATATGTACAAAAAAATAAAATAAATAGAACAAAATAATAATCAAAAGTATATACAATAGACAATAAAATAAAATAACCTAAAAAATAAGAAAATTAAAACTAAGGAAAAAAAAAAAAACACATGCATACCTATATACAATCAGGCGAGGGAACTCCAGGAGAACCCTGCGCTACTCTCCCAACCGCGTCACTGGTACTAAAGCCAGCGGAGATTGGTCGAGAGCACTTTAGCCACATACACACATGTCTTGAGTGAAGAATCTGGCCATTGCCAGAACTCCAATTTATATAATCTACAAAAGGTCGCGAGGCCACTGCCGTTTCAACCTTCTTGGAGGATTATAGGGATGGGAGATGCTTGATAGGGATTGTGCAAGAGGATTTGGGTGGTAAGTAAGGTTCTGGTGAAATTTGGAGAATTTTTCTGGGATAAGGTCTAGGACAAATGGGATGTTAAGGTCATGATGTAGGGTTTTGTTGGATACATAGAAAGGAGCATCGACTATTGTTCGAAGGACTTTAGACTGGAAGGATTGGATGCGCTTGATGTTAGAAAATTTTGCTGATCCCCACAGTTCTAGTCCGTAAGTCCAAATAGGTTTCAGTATTGTCTTGTAGATCAGTAGCTTGTTTTCAATGGAAAGTTTAGATTTTCTGCTTAGTAGTCGGTATAGTTGGCCGTATCGTCGGTTGAGTTCTTGTCTTTTGAGTCTAGTATGCGGGTTCCAAGTTAGTCTTCGGTCTAAATGAAAGCCAAGATACCGGACTGTGTCTGAATAAGGAAGCTGGATGGAATTAAAGAGTACTGATGGACAGGATCTGCGGCGGAGCGTGAAGGTGATGTGTTTGCATTTGGATTCGTTTACTCTGATACGCCAGTTATTACACCAGTGCTCAATCAAGGTGAGGTGACTTTGGAGATTTAAGGATGCTATTTCGGGATCAGAGTTGGATGATAAGATTGCGGTGTCGTCAGCGAATGTTGCAAGAAAAGTATCGGGATGAACAGGGATGTCAGCAGTAAAGAGGATGTAAAGCACGGGACCCAAGACGCTGCCTTGGGGAACACCGGCTTTAACGGAGTAGATATTGGAAAATTCTGTTCCACAGCGAACTCGAAAGGAGCGGTCAGAGAGGTAGGATCGGAGGACTAGGTACAAGGACTGAGGTAAATGGATTTTAAGCTTGGAGAGCAGTCCGGAGTGCCATACCCGGTCAAATGCCTGTGCAATGTCCAGAAAGGCACCCGAACAGTATTCCTTGTTTTCTAGGGCTGAGGAAATATGATCAACAACTCGGAGTCCTTGTTGAACAGTAGAATGTTGAGAGCGAAAACCAAACTGATGGGAAGGGATATTTTGGGATTCTATAATGGGTAGGATTCGTTTCAAAAGGATCTTTTCAAAAATTTTTGAAAGGATTGGGAGTAGGCTGATTGGTCTATAGGATGTTGAGCTATTGAGAGGTTTTCCTGGTTTTGGGAAAAGGATAATAGTGGAGTGTTTCCATAACAGAGGGAAGTGGGTGGTGCGTAGGATACAATTGTAGATATATGTAAGGAATATGACTGCTTTGGATGGAAGTTGTCGAAGGATTTGAGGTGTAAGGAGATCATGTCCAGGAGCTTTACGGAGGATTAGTTTTTTTAATTGAAATTTTACTTCGGAAGGATGAATAGCTTTTGGGGGCAAGGAAAGTGGGATTGGTGATGTAAGGAGTTCTTCTACTG